AGTGGGGGGAACTCTTTAAGCGGTGTATAGTTTGGCACCTCATCACCTTTTTACTTTCCCAATGACACTTGACCACGTCTGTTATAAAAAAAAAAAAAAAAAAAAAAAAAAAAACTTACTCGAAACACACATTGTGTAGCTGTAATTATATGACTAGAGAAGAGAATAAAAAGAAGCATACTTCTCTTGAAGGAATGAGAGGCCGACGTACATGCATGGCTGCAGAACATACAACATTACTATCTAGCCAGTAGTGACCATCACGGGGTCACATTAATTTGTCGGGTCTTCAAATTTTTATGATCTTTTGAGCAAGGGAACGGTGTCTCACGGGACCACGACTCCTTTCAGCTAAGGGACACTGTACAGAAATAGCAGACACAATTGCACTAGAGAACGGATCTTTATGCTACATTTAGTTTCGTCCGCAAGAAAATGTTAGTTGAGCACTTGGTGGCCCACTCTCTCGGTCACTTTTGCATAACTGCACTTGATTGATAGCTAGGACAGCTTTGTGCGTTTGGTCTTGTCCATATATACCAGGAGCATGGTACGTATAAGAGACGTGGCTCCCCGCACACACTATAACCTCGCACACAGGGTTGGTTAATTTGTAGTTTGTGTTGTAAAATCGACGGTTGATGCAGTGGAATAAATAAATAAAACACAAAATTTACAATGTTCCTTTACAGTCAATGTGATTGGAGTACGTTATCGGGATAATAGTGGTTCTTTCATTATAATTAAGAATAATAAGAGTACAAAGATAATTCTCTAAAAAGAACAACCGATTAAAAGGCAGTGAATCTTTTTTTTTTATGTTACAAAAGACAGCGAATCTTTTTTTTATGTGATCTGAGGGACGTGGCTCCCCAAACACACCACAATGAACAAGTCGAAGAATTAATTCTGCTCCCTTTAATTTTTTAAGGTTTTTACTTTTCTAGTATTTTCAGCGTAGTGTAGCTATATGCACAAGTACACAATTAATATGAATTAGCACCAAGTTTAATTCTATATTGCAGTAGGCGTGTATGCGTTTTTGAACTATTTACCGCTTTATACGACGACTAGCTAGTTTTTAACTTTTGGGTCCTAGTACATGTGTTAACATATATGAACTTGAAGCATAAAGCATTTGATAAGGGGATGTTACCAACCTTCACCTTATAAGTTCTTTATAATTTTAAAATTTCTGCATTGTTATTTAATAATAAAAAAAAATATTTTCACGGCCATTGTTAATCCAACAGTATCCTCCGGATCCTTTTTGTGAGGACCCTGGGGTCCGTTAATCGTGTCAGTTCATTATACATTGTGTGGTCAGTTTTCGTCAGGTACTGTTTGTGTTCAATTTTAAATAAAAAAATTAAAATGATTTCTGAATGCACGATGTACGATGAACGAAAACTATTCATGAATCCCCAAGATTCTCACAAAGAGGATCCGGATTCATCATTAATGATGTGCTATGTCAGAAATATATAAAAATAGAAATCATCTAACCATTTAATTAGCAATATCATAATTTCATTGTTTAACTAACGAACGTGGATTTAGTTAATTTTTGTAAAAATATCTTTAAAGAGTGATCTTGAAAATAGATGATTCGGATCATCATGAAACATTAGAGGATAAGAAATGAAAAAGGAGAAAATCTATAAAAAAAAATGCTAGCATTTCTTTTTGACTAATATTAGGTAGACCAAATTTTCAAACCATATGATGTGTCAACAATAGAAAATAAGCACGTTAATCAACATTTAAGTAATAATTAATTCATCAATAACCACGTAATATAATTTACAAAATACAATTTAAATGGATGATTTCCCTAGCAGTACTGAACTTTTGATTTCCCCGCTAAACTTTTTAATTCAAAAACTAAGTACTCAAACTAATTTTTTTTGCCGATTACACCCCTACTATTAGTTTTTCATTCATTTCATCCAAATTTCTGTTAAATAAAAGCATGTACACAACATGTGAGGGTACTTCGGTCTCTTCATTCTTTAAAGTAATTGAAAACCCTAGATTTCTAAAATGTCAACATGTGCAAATATGTGTGATTCTATAACTTCTGTGTCTGAAGGTCTAGTGAAGTGACGCTTTTGTCCTCAAAGGAGTGTCACATGGTGTGCATGTGATAAGAGTTAACGTTAATTTGGATGGAATCTATGAAAAACTAACAGTATGGGGAAATCGGCCAAAAAAATTAGTTTAAGTCCTTAATTTTCCAATTAAAAAGTTTAGGAGGGAAATCGAAAGCTAAGCGAAAAGTTCAAGGGGAAATTAGCAGTAAACTCTTTTTTCTTTTATTTTATTTTATAAATAAGTGAAAATGAGAATTGCTAAATTCTTTAATCTAGATCATTTATAATAAGGGTAACGCTAAGAAGACTTAATTTATAAACTATATATGTAAATTAAATTATGTGTCAGCATTAAAAAAATAAGTATGATAATTAACACTTAATAATAATTCAATCATTAACAACTAACATCATTTAATTTACAAAATTTAATATCCTTAACATTATCCTTATGATAATAATAATTGATTCCGAGTACATAGTAATAGAGGTCCTCGAAAATCAGAATTCCCAAAAACCCTAATCCAAGTCCATAAGTTTGGTGCACAAGTACAAGTACCACTAGAAGTAGAAGTCCTAAAAAATTGAAATTCCCAGAAACCCTAATCAAACTACAATATATAATGTTTCCCCCTACCCTACATAATTAATTAACAGGTCTCTCTCCCAATTCCAATCGCTAGGTTTTCATCTATAATCTCTCTCCCTCCCTCCGTCATTCAGTCTCTGGTTTTTAGGGCATTCTTAGGGTTTTGAATCAAGTAGTGTGCCTCTCGGCTAGAGATTTTTGAGACTTTCGTGGTTCAGCATTTGATTTTGGGGATGCAGATAGCGCCATGGCTAAGTCTCGGATAGTTTTAACAACGGGGAGCTCCGCCGCGAACCGCCGAAATTCTGGTACAGAATTCGGGGACATGTGGTTTATGGGATGCAGTTTTTGTCTTCGATCAGCGTTTGATTCCTACACCGTGGCTTGCAAGGCATTTTTTGAGCATGCACCGTCTTAATCTGATTCCGGTTGGGGTTGAGAACAAGAAGCTTTGATCGATAGAGTTTTTGAGATACGTTTTTGTCTTTTCTCCGAGGAACGAAAGAAAAGATTGTTCCTTTGCGGAGATTTAAGGTTATGGACTCCTGTAGTGGTTTGGAAGATGCTGGCGTTGTGGAGAAAGATCCGACTGGGAGATACTTGCGGTATGACGAAGTGTTGGGGAGGGGAGCATTCAAGACTGTATATAAGGCATTTGATGAAGTCGAAGGAGTCGAAGTAGCTTGGTGCCAAGTGAATATCAAAGGAGTAGAAGAAGTGGAAAGATTGTATTCGGAGGTTCATCTGCTGAAGTCACTGAAACATCAAAACATCGTACAGTTCCATAACTCTTGGGTGGATGATAAGAACATGACCATCAACATGATAACAGAGTTATTCACTTCCGGGAGCTTGAGGCAGTACCGAAATAAGCATAAGAAGGTCGATATGAAAGCCATCAAGAATTGGGCTAGACAGATTCTTCGAGGTCTGGACTATCTGCATTCTCACAATCCTCCAATTATTCATAGAGATTTGAAGTGTGACAACCTATTTGTCAATGGATTTAATGGAGAACTTAAAATCGGAGATCTCGGTTTGGCGATTGTCATGCAGCAGCCTACTGCTCATAGCATAATTGGCACCCCTGAATTCATGGCTCCAGAGCTTTATGACGAGGAATACAATGAATTAGTCGACATCTATTCTTTTGGCATGTGCATGCTAGAGATGGTGACTTGTGAATACCCTTATAGTGAATGTAAAAATCTGGCGCAAATTTATAAAAGGGTTACCTCTGGTGTAAAGCCTGCTTCCCTCAGTAAAGTAGACAATCCTCAAATCAAGCAGTTCATAGAGAAGTGTCTAGTTCCAGCTTCTATGAGATTGTCTGCGGCGGAACTCTTGAAAGATCCAATCCTTGCAACTGACAACTTGAATGAGTCCAGCTGTGATCTTTCACAACTACAAAAGTTGTTTACCTTGCCAGAGCCCACATCTAACTCGTCAGTGCTGGAGTTACATTGTTTCTCTAAGAATAATGAGTTCAGGTTAAGAGCGGGGAAAAATCCCGATAACACAGTGTCTTTAACTTTGCGCATTGCTGATACATGTGGTCTTGTGAGGAATATCAGGTTTGATTTCTATCTCGATTCTGATACTGTGATTTCAATTGCTTGGGAGATGGTTGAGCAACTTGATCTTTCACATGAAGACGTCTCTGTCGTAGCTGAGCTACTTGATAACTCGATTGTGAAGCTTGTACCCGGATGGAAACCTTCATCGGAGTTGTCTCTAGCGGACAAAGATAGGTATGATGCTCTAAAGAGGGAGCTTGATGCTATTGGTAAGCAGTATTTCTCGAAATTAAGGGAAGAGGAGATGCAGAGTGCAAAGAAGAGTTGGATAGCAGAAAACAAAATAGCTGTAATTGATGTACTGTACTCTTGCTAAGTATTTTCTTTTCGTCTGTTTTCCCTCTAACATTCATTTGATTCTTGTGAATTGTTTTCGTTAAGAAATGCGGGCATGTGTTTTTAAGTTTGGATTTGTACTTACATTTGTGTTTACGGTTAGTAATGAATATTTTCTTGTTCCAAAAGAATGTATTTCTTTCATATGCATAGCTCCTCCCCCTTTATATGTTTGTGCCTACTATGAAGGTAATTTCGTGGCATATGGGGAGGTACGTAATTTTCTCTCCGCTCTAGGCATACTCATGTTGATAGGAGAAAATTTGTACCTGATATACAATTTTAATGGCACCATCATCTCAATACCGTCCATTATCAAGTTATTGCATGTAACTATTCTTTAAATTTATTTTTTTTATTACAAGATTTTTTTTTCTCCATCTAAATATATATATTTATGCTTGCTAAAATTAAAAATATGTTTGAATTATTTGGTACAAAAACGTAACATTATTCTTATAAGTATCTATAAACACTAAATAAGCCAAAAAGCAGCCTAACAAAACTTAAGCCAAAAAGCATCCTAACAAAATGATTAAGACCTAAACTAGGGCTCCCCCTGTCACGTACTCAGTGAAGGCCAAAGCTACGAGACCTAACATGGCCAACCGTCCATTTATGAGCTCAGCATCTGAGGTCATGATCCCATCTGATTTTGACTCCACGCTGACTCCTTTAAGTAAAGGAATCAATGATGCCACTGATAGCAAAATACTAGTTCCAAGGAACAATGAGATTCCACCGTTGGATATCTGAGCAAACACATCCTGACCCTTGGATAGTTCCACCGCCAGAGCTGAAACGAACCCAACCATTGCAAGTCTGCCGTTGATTCTCTCCGGCACTGGCCCACTGAATGCAAACAATTCTGAAAACTTTGTGCTAACCTGAAAACAAAAAAAACAAAAAAAAAAAAAAATCTATGCTTTGAGATGCGTGTCGCATATTATCCATGTGTGAACGCCATGATAACAACATATTGATATGGAACTTCTTTGCTTTGGATAAATATCACTTGTACTATTCTCGAATAATTTTTAGCTTTGGATAAATATTCTGGACAGATAAACTTGCTGTAGGTCTTTTGATACAGACCCATTATCTTGGTTTTAAACTTTTAAATGTAGAAATGCATAATTAGCTCGTAAGATAATATTTGTTCAACTTTTAATAGTTCAGACAATGCACATAAATAATTAACGGATCAATTCAAGTAACACTAGACAATTTAATAAAACAATACCTTGCCGGGAGAAGGAGAAGGTGTAGGACGTGATGAACTTTTTGATGCCTCTGTAATTGTAGATGGTTGCTTCTTCTGGCCATCCTACAAATGATAAATTAGACACAGTGCGTAATTAATATCATTATTTTATAACTATATGTAGTTTAAGATGCACATATATAAGCCAAATAAAGAAGAAGACAGAAGAACAGAATAATTACCTTGGCCATTGAGCATATCCTTATTTGAGGGTAGCTGTGCACAGTTGGTGCAACAAGGTGGCTCATTCTAACTGATTTATTCTTTCCCGCTCCATAAGCCAAGGAATTAGCTAGGAATGTTGAAAGCATGAAAGTTGCTGATGCAGCCATTATATATATATATGTACTTTGGTTCTTAGTTAAACACTAACAAAAAGATCAAACTCTAAGCTTTTGGAGATGTAATTTGTTCTTACTTCTTGATATCAAAGTTTGAGCACCTTAGTTGCTTTTTATAAGGTAATGGTGCCCCAGTGGGGGAAGCTCTTTAAGCGGTGTATAGTTCGGCACCTCATCACTTTTTTACTTTTCCAGTGACACTTGACCACGTCTGTGAGAAAAGAAAAAAAACTTACTTGAAACACGCATTGTGTAGCTGTAATTATATGACTAGAGAAGAGAATAAAAAGAAGTATACTTCTCTTGAAGGAATGAGAGGCCGACGTACATGCATGGCTGCAGAACATACAACATTACTATCTAGCCAGCAGTGACCATCCTGTGGTCACATTAATTTGTCGGGTCTTCAATTTTTTATGATCTTTTGAGCAAGGGAACGATGTCTCACGGGACCACGACTCTTTTCAGCTAGGGGACATGTGTAGCAATAGCAGACACAATTGCACTAGAGAATGGATCTTTATGCTTCATTAGTTTCGTCTGCAAGAAAAATGTTAGATGAGTACTTGGTGGTTCACTCTCTGAGTCACCTTGCATATTTGTATTTGTTTGATTGCTAGGACAGCTTTGTGCGTTTGGTCTTGTCTATATATACGGAAAGGGATCCTCTACGGATCTCTTCCACCTAATCAATCAATTCGGGCTCTTGAAATTTGATCAAACGATTAAAATTATTATAATTTTTAAAGCGGGCCCCTGTTTTTTGTCATTGGATCAAATTTCAAGAGTTCGGATTGATGGATTTGCTGAATTTGCTGGAAGGAATCTGGAGATGATCCCTTTCCCATATATACAAGGTGCATGGTACATATAAGAGACATGGCTCCCCGCACACACTACAACGTCGTACACAAGGTTTGGTTTGTTGTTTGATTTTTTTAGTTCGACAATATACTCGAGCTTAAAAAAAATTAATTCAACCAAAATTATAGGGATGAGTTAGTCTACAATACTCTTTAATTAAAAAAAAAAGTTTATTGGTATTGTTAAATCTAAATTTCATTCAAGGTTGAATTGATGAAACTCGACGTACCAAATAAGACTCACCGTTAGTTTATTTGACGAGTACTCAAGAAAAAAGGGAAGGTGTAAACCAAAGGGTCTCTGATGGCTAAGTCAGCGAATGGTTTGAGAGAAAATAGAAGAAAGAGAATTCAGAGTAGTAAGTGGCGATTTTCGATTTTCCTATTGGAACTTAACTATTTATAGGAGTAAACCCTGACATGCAGCTAGGAGGGGAGGTTGTATGCCATACTAGGTAGACCTCTGTGTTGTGCTAGTGTGATGCAAACCATTCTCCACAGACAACTCACAAATAGTCTCAAAGGTCTTTGATAGATATTATAACTGTCATGTATCGCAGGACACTCAAGGGAGACTCAAAAAGTCTGCTTTTTGCCACCTTAGGTCGAGTACGGCATGGTGTTAGGATTGCGATATCATGGCCCAAAGGGTATCTTGATATATATGTACCTGACTTGAAAGCCCAGTACCTATGGGGTCAGAAGATGCCAGGCCCTTTGAGGTACCATGTGGTTTGCTCACAATATCAAGGGTAAAACCTTCATATTTAGTTAAAAGATCACATGTCCTTCTCCTATTGGATTTAGTAAATGTATGTCTCCAAATGTATTATTAAATTTGAACATTTGAAGTGCAATGCAATCACGTTCAAGTATAATATCCTATATTTATAGTAAATTAATACAGCATCTAGTACGTAAATGTCAACGTTTTTATAGTATTACTGACGTCATTTTGTGTAATTAAATTATAGGATTATATATAACCTTATCTATCTTGTCACTCACACCTTGAATGTTAAAATCATGTTGTACACGGTTATACTTTAGGATAGGAGGACATAAGGGACTAAGATGTTGTGTATTATCATGACGTACGCTAGTGATAACTTACATCTACATTATAATAAGACGTTCATGGTCATCAACGTTGGTATTATTAGTGCAAACATGTTTAAGAGGCCAAGCTAGAAATAGCGTTCATGAGGGGTCTAACTAGGCAATGGCAGCTGCAGGTCATTGTTAAATTCCAAATAGAGCGCGAGCGGCCCTAATTATTTTTTCAACTTTAAGTGAGGCATTTTATCGAGCACTTAACCCATACTCAATATTGTGTGCTTAGTGTACGAGTCTCCACCTTTTGTGCCGTTTTAGTTGTATCTTTAGGCTCTATATTGTTATAGTGAATAAATTAAAAGATATACTCTATATGTACAGAATTAGGAGGTCAGATTTAGTTCATTAGACGTATGAGGGTAGAAAATTCAAAATGAACAGTGTATATTGTGACAACAAGTCTCTAATTAATTTGTCTTTCCAGTAAATATTGTGCCACGTGGATTCTCTTGTCCACGCGTAGTAGTTTGAGAGACGTGCCACAAGTATCATCACAATGTACTAGGTAGTGATTTCTGAGGTTACAATTGTTCAAGGTTTTCAAAGTTTTGTATAGGGGAGGGAAAAGGACCGACTGATGCCTCACGGGACCACGAGCACTAGTTTCAAGGTTTCAACTAGAGGACATAAGTAATAACAGACACAATTGCACTAGACAACGAAGCTTTTGATTCGTTTTCGCCAGAAAGAAAATTAAAGGTTGGATGGTTATATTGCTTTGCTTGTTCATCATGGGTCATGACAACTCTCTCATCATTTGCATTTGTCTGATAGTTTTTGGAGAGCTTTGTGGGCAATTTATCTGTTGTCTAGTCCATGTATGTGATCTCAGGGACGTGGCTCCCCAAACACGGCAAAATGAACAAGTCAAGAATTAATTGTGCTCCCATTAATTTTTTAAGGTTTTTACTTTTCTAGTATTTTCAGTGTAGTGAAGCTATGTGCACAAGCACACAATTAATATGAATTAGCACCAAGTTTAATTTCTATATTGCAGTATGCGTGTATGCCTTTTGAAACTACTTACTGTTTTATACGACGATTAACTTCTGGGTACTAGTACATGTATTAACATATATGAACTTCAAGCATAAAGCATTTGATAAGGAGATGTTACCAATCTCCACCTTATAAGTAGCATTAAACGATGGCCTTCTCTTTCTGCTTTGTCCTTTATAATTTTTAAATTCTTGCATTGTTACTTAAATTCTTAGAAAGGTCGAAGCATACTGGCCATCACCATGAGGTAATGTAACCATAAGGGTAAGCGATGCAAAAAGTGAATAAAATTAAAACCAATTAGAACTAAACAGTGAAAGAGTGCGCAATCATGAGTTGAACCCACTACAATTATTCAGAGCGTAATAGACAGTGAGACTACAGAAGAGTAGTCAAAACGACCAAAGTACACTTATTACATAATAGTGATAAGTTCGTACGTCTAAACAGAAAGAAATGTCAGAACTGCCAAGATTCCTTGAGTGCCATAAAGAGTACAACTATCTAGGTCCTGGAAGGGCGAAAAACAAAGTTGAGTGGGTCAACAAAACAATGCTTATAAGAAAACCTTTAACTTTGAAAATACTAACCTCTCGCCATAAAACAAGTATAGATTCCTTAAAACATACTACTCAGGTATATAAACAATAATTCGATAATATTATGGCAGTAATATAACCAGGAATATGCCAAGTAATGATGTATCAAATGCCACAGTAATAATCATGTGATAATCAAGTATAACTAAGTGCTCGTCCATCTAAGCTGACACACAAGTTCGAACAAATAGTTTCTGACACGAACAGGACTGGATGTAATCAATATGCTCTAGTACTACGATCAAGTGAAGACTGGTGTAGAAGCACATCACATACAAGTCGGATTGCCTAATGCAATCTACCCGACAGGACTGGCACCTAACTTGGATCCAAGGCGAACGAATGTTGCGGATGTGAACATACACGTGAAGGACTGTCCCTGGCCCTGGGGCAAGTACTAACACCGAGGTGCAGCAAGATGAGCATGTATATAAGTATGTATGAATGTCGTGACAGTAATATCTTAGCCATATAGCAGCATTTATCACAATATATATCACAATAACGATACTTGGCAATATAAGCGTAAAAGTGAAGTAAATACGCATTTATGGAAACTACAAATATGTATAGGTATAAAACAACTGCCACTCACAAGTACGTTGCTGGGTCGTAGCCCCCGAGCCTAGCTTGGCCTCGTAAATTCTCAGGATAAGTTTCCCCTATATGTGAAATAACTAAAATAACATTAACTAAAGCACATAACGGAAACCTAAATAAAACCCCCATAGTTTGCTCAAACCTAGGGTTTAAATATATGAAATCGATCTACTCAACGACACGAACACACACATGTCGACCACACGCCGGTCGGAGGCCGGACGCACCGTCACGCGCTGCCCAAAGTGGCTGCACAAAATGGTCACATGCGCCCGCGAGTACAGGCGTACTTGCCTTCCTCGCGATTTTCTGCAATTTTTGCAGATTTTTGGCCAACTTCCAAAGTTCGAATACGATCCGTGTTATTCAGAAATTTGGCCTGAAAGTGGCCAAATGACCATGATTGCAAATTTTCCAGAAACTGAAATTTTCTTCCCAACTTCCAGAGTTGATTTCTAACTCGTTACTTAACCAAACTCTGTGATTCAAAAGCCATTTTGAAGTTAGGAATGTAGAGAACAAGTTTGTACTAGTAGGAGCCGAGATGTGGTCGATGTTGACCGAAAAATGGGTTGAAAGTGACCAAATGGTCACGGTCCTTGACTGAAAAACGTGCAGGTTCTTCTTTTTCTTGAGTTTTCTGGGTAAAACTGTAACATCCCACATCGCCCAAGGAAGTGATCCTTAAATGTATATTCCCATCCCTACCTAGCACGAGGCCTTTTGGGAGCTCACTGGCTTCGGGTTCCGTCGGAACTTCGAAGTTAAGCGAGAAGGTGGCCAGAGCACTCCCATGATGGGTGACCCACTGGGAAGTTGCTCGTGAGTTCCCAGAAACAAAACCGTAAGGACGTGGTCGGGACCTAAAGCAGACAATATCGTGCTACGGTGGTGGAGCGGGCCCGGGAAGTGGTCCGCCCCAGGCCGGGATGTGACAAAATGGTATCAGAGCCTAACCCTAGCCGTGGTGTGCCGACAAGGTCGTCAGGCCCCTTAGGAGGGTGGATTGTAACATCCCACATCGCCCAGGGGAGTGATCCTTAAATGTATATTTCCATCCTTACCTAGCACGAGGCCTTTTAGGAGCTCACTAGCTTCGGGTTCCATTGGAACTCCGAAGTTAAGCGAGAAGGTGGATAGAGCACTCCTATGACCCACTGGGAAGTTGCTCGTGAGTTCCCAGAAACAAAACCGTGAGGGCGTGGTTGGGGCCCAAAGCGGATAATATCGTGCTACGGTGGTGGAGCGGGCCCGGGAAGTGGTCATTCCCGGGCCCGGATGTGACAAAAACCATATGTTCAAAACATAACAAGAGATCAATATCAACCCATAGAAGTGAAATGAAAGTTCTAAGGGTTTCTCAAGGCTTACCTAAGCCATGAATGGCCTGAAAATCGTTATGTCGAACTCGCCAAGTCGACCTTTTGAGTTGGTGAGTCAAAACTCGTCTACACCAGATTTCAAAGACATGGTTATGATCATAGGACTGAGATAAACATAATGGTGTAGTTGGTTTGTCACGTTTGTGAGTTTTGATGTGTTTTTGTGAAGGTTGCAGAGATGAAGAGGGAGCTCGGTGAGGAAGAGAGAGTGTGATGTGAGGTTGCTTTTCTAATTGGGGGACAGAAATGAGGGAGAGATGGGATAGGTGGGGGAGTAAATAATGGAGGAGGGTGCACGGGATGGACTAGGTAGAAGCTAGGGATAGGCTTTAGACTTTTGTATAGAAAAGAGTATCGAAAATCTATCCGGAATAGTATTTTTGTACTGATAATATTTACGTACACCCGCAACATGTACAATTAAATGCGATAGCGAGAAAAAAAAAAGGAAAGAGATAAGAATAAGTCCACGTCACTTGCCAATAAGGGCATAATCGTCAAATTTCATATTCGGGGAGAAATTACATATGAAAATTAGGGACGGGTCGTCACAATGTACCCCCTTTATAAAAATTTCATCCCTAAAATTTCAATACTGACTGCCATCAAAGCCATAAAACAGACGTGGATACATATCTTGCATACGCTATTCTGTCTCCCAAGTGGCTTCCTCCACTAAGTGGTTCCTCCACAAAACCTTCACCATCCGCACGATCTTGTTCCTAAGAACCTTATCCTTCCATCAAGGATAGTCACTGGAACCTCAACATAGGTCAAATCTGGATTGATCTCTAATGGCTGAGGAGGGACTACTGTGTGACGGATCAGAAACGTACCTCCGTAACATCGATACATGAAACACATTATGCACTCTCGCCAACTCTGATGGCAAAGCAAGTCGATTAGCAACTTCACCGACTCGTTCAACAATCTGGTACGGTCCGATGTACCTAGGGCTGAGTTTCCCTTTCTTTCCGATCATTAACCTTATAAACTCTGTCGGTAAAATGTCTGTCTGCGATACTCTTTTGACGATCCTGGGCCGCTTTCAGGTTAGCCTTTATCACATTAATGTTCTGTGTCGTCTCATCCACGATCTCAAGGCCCACCAAAACTAGCTTACCGACCTCGGACCAACAACGCTTCAAATGGTGCCATACCAATACTAGAATAGAAGTTGTTGTTGTACACGAACTCTATTAACGGTAAGCACTTGTGCCAAGCGTGTCCAAACTGTAGAACTGACGATCTTAACATATCTTCCAAAGTCTGGATAGTTCTCTCTGACTGCCCATCAGTTTGAGGATGATAGGCGGTGCTGTAGAGTAATCTCGATCCCAAAGCTTCCTTAAAAGCTACCCATAACTTCGAAGTAAATCGTGGATCCCGGTCACAAATGATACTAACTGGACTCCGTAGTACCTAACCACTTCAGAGATGAACTGTTCGGCCAACTGATTTAACGAGTAATTCTCACGGATGGGTATGAAGTGCGTTGACTTGGTAAGTCTATAAACTACCACCCAAATACCATCGTAACCATTTCGCGTACGAGGTAATTTGTACACGAAATCCATTGTAATATCTTCCCATTTCCACTGAGGTATCGGGAGTGGTTGTAGCAATCCAAACGACTTTTTCCTTTCTGCTTTAACCTGCTGGCAAATTGCATAACGACTAACATACTTTGCAACTTCTCTTTTCATACCTGGCCAATAATAAAAGTGTCGGATGGTATGATACATCTTGGTGCTCCCTGGATGCATCGAATAAGCAAAAATATGCACTTCATCCAATATGTCTCTCTTCAGTTCCTCAACATTCGGTACATACATCCGTTCGCCTTGCATAAGCATGTCGTCAGGATCTTTAATCTAGAGGTCATTCTTTTTCCCGTCTAACACTGCCTGTATCAATTCCTGATATTCTGTATCGTTCTTCTGGGCTTCGAGAACACGATCTAACAGAACCGGTCTGACCTGAAAACTAGCAATTAAGGCCCCCCAACGACCCTCTTTCAATGCTACTCCAGTGGATCTTAGGTTAGTCAAAAGAGGAACGCGACTAGCATAAAGAGCATTAAGTTGGCCATGAGACTTCCTACTAAGAGCATCAACTACTGAATTGGCACGACCTGGGTGATACTCAATGGTGCAGTCATAATCACTTAGCAACTCTTCCCACCTCCGATGTCGAAGATTGAGGTTCGGCTAATTGCAGATATACTTAAGGCTCTTGTGATCAGTGAAGATCTTACACTTTTCCCCATAAAGATAATGCCTCTAGATTTTCAAGGCAAAGATGATCACTGCCAACTCGAGATCGTGAGTAGAATAGTTCTTCTCATGGGGCTTTAACTGCCGCGAAGCATAAGCAATCACTTCATCATGCTGCATTAACACACTCAAGACCATTAAGAGACGCATCACTGTAGATCTCAAAGTTCCCACCATCATCAGGAAGTGCTAAGATAGGTGCATGAGTGAGAAGATACTTCAACTGCTGGAAACTGTGCTCACGCTCACTACTCCACACAAAAGGAACTTCTTTTCTAGTCAATTTTGTCAAAGGTAGTGTTATGGTCGAAAAGTCTTTCACGAAGCGTAGATAATAACCAGCAATACCAAGAAAGCTTCGAACTTCTGTAACTGTCCAAGGTTGTTCCCAATTTTCCACAGCTGCTATTTTCTGAGGATCCACAAGCACGCCCTGAGCTGATACCACGTGCCCTAAAAATGACACTTATCCAGCCAAAACTAACATTTGTTGAACTTAGCATACAACCGATTTGCCCTTAGCGTGTTTAGAACCACACGCAGATGCCTGGCATGATCAGTTTCGTTCTTCGAATAACATCCCACATTGCCTAGGGGAGTGGATCATGTAAACCTTATATGTATATTCCCATCTCTACCTAGCACGAGGCCTTTTGGGAGCTCACTAGCTTCGGGTTTCATCGGAACTCTGAAGTTAAGCGAGTTCGCGCGAGAGTAATCCCATGATGGGTGACTCACTGGAAAGTTTTCATGTGAGTTCCCAGAAATAAAATCGTGAGGGCGTGGTCGCGGCCCAAAGCGGACAATATCGTGCTACGGCGGAGTCGAGGCCGGGATGTAGTGAGGGCCCGGGGCGGGATGTGACAGTAAATTCTATGATCTAGATAGTCATCAATGTATTAAGTTGGCAACTTATTTTATTATTTTATTTCTGAAAAAACGATACTATATATAATGAGCTAGCAATAATACGGTTCAAATTTTCCCTTAATGATAATCAAACCTAAGACCTCTAACTTACAAGTGAAGAGGAAAACTATTAGACCATAGTACTAAGTGACATCAAACTTGTTTTTAGATTAGAAAAAGGAACACATGCCCCTGTGATCTGAAATAGAGAGGCATACTGGCCCAAGTAACCTCTAAATTGTTTTTTTTAACTGGTCCCAAAGTAACAATAACACATGCCCCTCTGATCCAAGTTGGTTACTGCATTAGTTTAACAAAATAATTTATAAAAATAATTTGTTTCCAAGCACTACGAAGAGCAATTCCACCCCAGCCCTTTAGGCTGACACATGAGTTCATACAGATAATTTCTAATAGGCTGGCACCTAGCCCAAGCCAGGCCATATGCCAGCTCAGAATCGACAGAGTAAATGGACGGCCCATCTGACATCATGCTGACGCCAGCGTGACGTCCAATGGCATTTTATTTTTTTTTGCTCCAGGTGCGCGTCACCAACAAGAAATCAGAGGCGAGCCCGCTTGCGCAATCGCACTAAACCAATTTGATGAAAAGCCACGTGGCTAGTCTTGGGCTGTTGGATTCCCAACGGTAAAAAAATTTTGAATTTGAAATCCAACGGCTAGTGATGTGACTTGATCTGGACTGTCCGATCCAGAGATCAACGATCCACGTTTTTCCCCTAGAATTTTTTTTAAAAAAGGCACAATGGTTAAAATTATGACCGTTGGCCACGTGTCAACATATAGGCTATTGGATTTGAATCTTTTTCAAATCCAACGATCCAGATTAATAAACTAAATTAAAAATTGTTAAAAAAAATTCAGAAAAAATTAATTTTTTTTTCCTATAAATACCTAACCCTTATCTTCTACCTTACACCATATTTCAATATTTTCAACACTTTCTACCAAAACTTTCAAATATTTTTTGTGTGAAAAAAATACCAAGAACCTCATCCTTTCTTTTTTGTCCATATAAAACCTACATCCCTACATCCATCTTCATCGTTTTCAAATCTTGAGTTCTTACAATGTCTTCTTCAAGGAGAGTGTATAAACAGTTTGAGGAGCAATAGAAAAGATTGTTGGCACAACGGGAAGAATTGGTCAATCTCGAGGAAGATAGAGGTGGAGATGAGGCTTTCGCAATGGAGGAGGATGAGGATGATGACCATAGAAGGCAGAGGGCCTCACATTCCCGTCGTGTCATGGAAGTTGTGGGTTAGATAGCCAAACCCAGACACGCCGCAAACTTCAATAGAAAAAGGGAAAGACAAGGTAAAGATCTCTTGGAAGATTATTTTATTCCCAACAGCGTATTCCCTGATCATGTTTTTAGATGTCGTTTTAGAATGCAACGAAGTTTGTTCAACAAAATCATGAGTTCTATTTGCAACCATGAACCATACTTTGTGAAAAAAGATAATGCTTTTCGTGTTCTAGGTCTTCTTCCTGAGCAAAAAATTAGGCTGCCTTGCGAATGCTTGCGTATGGTGCATTTGCAGATCAAATGGATGAGATCGTGAGGATTGGGAAAACAACTGTTTTGGAGTCCATGATTCGGTTTTGCTCTGCAATGGAAGCCCTCTACACTAATGAGTACCTCCGAAAACCCACACCAATGGACATGCGAAGGCTTCTGAGGAAGGGTGAGATACGAGGCTTCCCTAGCATGATTGGAAGCATCGATTGCATGCATTGGACCTGGAAAAATTGTCCAAGTGCTTGGCAAAGAGTGTATAGTGACAGAAAAAGAGCCAAAAGTATCATTTTGGAAGCGATGACTTCATTTGATACATGGATTTGGCATGCATTTTTAGTGTTCCAGGAGCTCAGAATGACATAAATGTCCTTGCTTAATCTTCAGCATTCGACGAAGTGCTTTAAGGAAAATCACCCAAAGTCACATATTCAATGAATGGCCATACATATGAAATGTCGTACTACCTTGCAGACAGCATTTACCCAAGGTGGACAACGTTTGTCAAAACAGTCCCATATCCACAAAGTGAAAAAGTAAAACACTTTGCAAAATGTCAAGAAGGGTGTAGGAAAGATGTGGAACGTTGTTTTGGTATCCTGCAAGCTCGTTGGGTAATTGTCCGATCAACTGCTAAAATGTTTGATGTCGAGGCACTTGGATCCATCATGATGACGTATATCATTCTCCACAACATGATTGTGGAAGATGAGTATGATTATGATGTTGTCAACGAATAAGAGCCAGACACAATGAACAACTCAAGAACACGTATCTATTGTGCTCATGACGCCACCGAAGATCTCGTGCAACACGAGCCATTGGAACGGGATCGACGTTACAATGAATTGTTTGAGGAGCGGTACACTTCATTGCAAGAGCCATATTGGCATTGTACTTGTCAAAGTGACTTGATTGAGCACCAATGGGGATTGCAACAAGGTCAAGATAATTAAAAGAAGCTTGTGGTGGAACAATAAGGTTCTTGGTTTATTTAGGGTGTTTTTTTTTAAGTTTATTTGATGAGTTTATGTAATTTTATTTTGGGTAAATTACATTTCAACCCCTCAGGTTTGAGGTCGATTTCAATTCCTTACAACATCTTTAAAACATTTCAACTTCATACATTTACTTATCATTTTATTTCAATTTCATACATCCGTTAGAAAATCTGTTAAGTAAATCGTTAAGTGCTGACGTGGCTGCCACGTGGCTAAAAACTTGAAAAAAAATTAAAAAATTAAAAAAATTATTTAAAGAAAAGTTAAAACAAAAAAAAACACAAAACCCAGATCCCCACCTGTGCCCACCCTCCCACCCCTTCCACCATCCCCCATCACCTGCAACCACTTCCCTCCCCACTGCGCCTCCATCTCCGACGAGAACCTCCATGCCGAGCTCTTCCCCTAGTACACCGGCAAAACTCGCCGGAGCTTATCGAGTCAACGTTTAGGGTTCGTGTCAAGGAACCCTACAATCCTAAAGAAAGTCAATCTTTTTCTTGCACTGGAAGCTGATAGGTGGAACAAGGAGGTAATCTTGAACGGACTCGAAATGTTCAAACTCAGTGCAAACCGGAATCTCGCTGAACCAAGCCCTGACCCACCTCTTGTAGCCGCAGCAAAAGGGACACCATCAAAACCTAGCATAAGATCAAGAACTCATTTGATTGCCACGGTTGTCAGTGTAGCTTGCGAAATACTTGGACTCTCTGTCCTTAGATTCTTGGTTTTTAGGCGACGGCAGAAAGTCAAAGGCACTGCCTCAAATGGGTCATCATCTTTACCAACACATTTGTGTTGTTACTTTTCATTAGCAGAGATCAAAGCCGCCACCCAAAACTTTAGCCAGAGTTTCATTGTTGAGATGGGAGTCACATCCCGGCCCGGGCCCCCACCACATCCCGGGCTCGACTCCACTGTAGCACAATATTGTCAACTTTGGGCCCCGACCACACCCTCACAGTTTTGTTTCAGGGAACTCACATGAGAACTTCCTAGTGGGTCACCCATCTTCGGATTTCTCTCGCGCGAACTCACTTACCTTCAGAGTTCAGATGGAACCCGAATCCAGTGAGCTCCCAAAGGGCCTCGTACTAGGTAGAGATGAGAATATACATATAAGGCTTACAAGATCCACTCCCCTGGACGATGTGGGATGTTACAATGGGTGATGGGGGTGGGAGGGTGGGCATGTGGGTTTTGTGTTTTGTGTTTTATTTTTTTTAATTTTTTTTAACTTTTCTTTAAATAATTATTTTAATATTTTAAAAATTTTATTAAGTTTTTAGCCACATAGCACAAATGTGACAGCTACGTCAACACAAATGGGGACCCCATATTTGCCATGTCATCACTTAACAGTTTACTTAACAAAATTTCTAACGGATGTATGAAATTGAAATAAAATGATAAGTAAATGTATGAAATTGAAATGTTTTAAAGATGTTGTAAGGAATTAAAATCGACCTTAAGCCTGAGGGGGTAAAATGTAATTTACCCTTTTATTTTAGTGTTTTTTTTAAGTTTATTTGATGAGTTTATGTAATTTTATTATGATAATGACACATGGCGTGACGAGATTGGTTAAAAATCCTATCTGAAATTAAAACTATTTATTTATTTATTATTTTATAAAAAATTTAATAATATTTTAAATGGGCTAGGTGCCAGCGCATTTTGTATGGGTAGAGATCGTTTGTGCCAGCGCATTTTTTAGGGATGGAGATGCATTTGGCCTATTACTGTTCATTAAGGTCTATCACTATTCACTGAGTGGATTAAATGGATTGGATGCTAACACATTTTTTTAGAGGTGAACTTGCTCTAATAGTAGAGGTCCCCGAAAATCAGAATTCCCAAAAATCCTAATCCAACTCCATAAGTTTGGTCCACAATTGTTAGTGTCCTAGCATTTCTCTAACTTGGTGGCACACTCTTTCAGTCACTTTGCATAATTGCATTTGTTTGATAGCTAGGACAGCTTTATGCGTTTGGTCTTGTTCATATATACTTGGTACCATGATATAAGAGACGTGGCTCCTTGCACATACTATAACGTCACGCTCAGGGTTGCTCATTTTTTTTTCTTTTTTTCTGCAGAAACAATATTATTTACATTAAAAAAAATGTGGATTTAACCTCATAATGGGTTAGCAATAATATAGTTTAAATTCTCATTGGCGAGAATTAAACATAAGACATCTTATTTACAAGTGAAGAGGAATACCACAAGACCGTAATACTAAGTGGCAATATATACTCAAATTTAAAAAACTAATTTTAAGCATTTATTCAATTGATATTGCAGGGATGAGTTAGTCTATGATACTGTAAATACAAATTTCATGTAGCAAATAAAACAATGTGTACAAAATAAATGTATTGTATTAATATAGGTTTAGGGTTACAATTTATGTTTACAATTTGAATCATTTGACTTGATCTCCGGAATGCAAAGTATGTGTGTGTTGGGGATTATTGATCCAAGAATTGCGATGACTTGATGACCTCGGATGAACAGATGACGCAAGAGTTTGGCTTGTAGCGATGGAAGAATTGGTACGTGTAATGGTGCTTGATGATGCTTCACGGGTTAGATGAAGAACGTAGAGAGTTTTCTAAATCTTCTAAATGTTTGGGAATTTGGGAGTTTGGAGGCTTGAGAGAGCTTTAGCGTTTGAGTGTGAGAATGATTTTCTAGACCCTTTCCTTGTCTTGGAGCCTTCTCTTTACAGACTCTCCAAGCTTTGCCTACGGAAAAACCAAGACTTGATTTGTGTCTTAGTTCGTGATTTGTGATTTCACTCCATCAATTAAAATTTGATTTAATCAAATAAATCAATCTTCCCAATTTGGCATTTTTATTTGATTTAAATTTAAATTAATTAATTTGTTTAATTTAAATTAAAATCAAATCATTTATTTCCACCAAGTGTTGACATGTGTCCTCTTGATGAATCGTCCAGTTTTGATGAGTCACATGCCATGTGTACGCTTTGTGAGACACATGGTGCTTGCCACGTAAGTCTTGGCATTTCAAAATTTAATGTGTTGGTGAACATTTATTCATTGGAATTTCAATGTCTACAAATGGTCCCTCGCATAGTGAATGTACTTTGAGCACTATACTTTGAAGTCCATCAACGTAGATGGCAATCCCTGAAAATCTTAACAAGCAACATGACCAGGATTACCTTTAGATAAACCATATGTATTAAGTTTAATCCAAGAAAACTTAGGAGAAGACCAGAGCACATGAATAAATAGTAGGCGCCTTGCGAGCGATGGATTGGAACTTTAGAGAATAATTGATATGAGTGTCAAAACCCTGAGAATAACTAGGAATAAACTTCCCACTATGAACGACCCCTGAATTGATAGACATGCAAGGACGATGATAATATATTGGGCGGCCCTAAAAAATAAACTTATTTCGAGCTTTACAAATAACCGAAATAGTAGAAAGACTTGTAAAATCCAGAGATTATGCAATTGTTGGAAAAAAAAAACAGCCAAGAATATGAAAAAGACAAAGAGGTACCAAATTGACATGCTAACCACCTCTAAAGTTGCCTAAATATCCGACATCCAAAGAAAAATGAACAGTAGATTCCTCAAAATTATGACATAAACAAGAAATACCACGTTGTTGTAGTGCACCCTCATTAGAAATGTTATTATTAAAAGTTTCCAAGCCAAAATAGATAGTTGAGCGGAATAAAATGTTGCCATACAACCCTAGCTCAATCATAGTCACTATGTTTTCTTCGAATAAGATGACAACCAGAAGAAAAAGAAAAGTTCCCAGTAGGCGAGGGCTACCAGATCAATTTATCATCTTCTACATTTAAAGGTAAAGGTAAATATAAATCTGTTGCACCAGAAAAATGAATAAATCTACAAAATAATCTACCAAAGACCAATTTTGAGCTTTAATAACATTTGAAATCCGAGGAAGAACTATAGGTGAAATGACCAAAGATAATGAAGTGCTAATAGTCGGGTCATCCAACCATTTGTCAAACCAAAAGGAAACTGACGTCCCATCACCAATAATCCAATGACTATTATTATTCAGAATAAACAAAACATGCTTTAAACCATGCCACACAAAAGACCATAAATGTATACCTTATTTTTGTAGGAAGGGGGAAGCTTTTAAGCGGCCATCGGTGTATAGTTTGGATTCATATTGCTGAATTGATTTCTTTGTGATAATGGGCAAGTCGGTTGTTTGTCCAAACGGAAAGGAAATAACATAGTAAAAGTCTTGCAGCTTTCTCACTCCTTTCCTGACTCGTCACATGAGGAGAGCAAGTCAAATCACTCAAAAAGTGTATCGTATACAACTCGTTGCCGTGTGAAATGAGACATTTCTGAAGCACATACCACAAAGTTAAGTTACTGGTGGGCAATTCTAAGATAACTCTCTCCTTTCATGACTAATCACATGAGAGGAATTTATCATGTTAAAATACTAAAAATGATGTATTATAGAAAGTTTTAACGAAAAGTTTACGGTACTGTTTACTTTAACAAAAAACCATATTTTTTACACTAAAAAGTCAAATTTGGTACTATTCACTTTACTTTTTATTTTGTCCTTATCATTAAAACTCAAAGTTTTCAAGAGCTTTTCATTAATTTTCCTTATATTGTATACAATTTGTTACATGTAAGTTTCTCTTTGTTAAATAAAAAATGTGGCTGAATTACAGATCACAACGTTACATTACTAGTGGCCAGGTGATTCAAATTAAATGTCACATGTTCTTCAATTTATTTGATCTTTTGAGAAGAAGGATCGATATTTCACGGGGCCACGCGAGCACTTTTAGAAGCCTTTTTTTTTGGGACACTTTGGATGCGGTCCCTAGCTATCAATATCCTTTGATTGAAACCTTGTTAGTTTTTAGTTTTTGATTGAGGTCCCTGATATTAATGTAATAATGTAAGTTACTATATTTTTTTAATTAAAAATTAAAAATTGAAATTTGTAATTGTTTATATTAATGAGATTTTAAATAAAACCCATAATTATGGGATTAAAAATAATAAAATATAAATTATTCTCTCTATATTGTGTGTGTGTGTACATATATGTATGGGTACATTAACCAAAATTAACAAAAAAAGTTATTGTACCAAAACATGGATACATTCTCAAATCAACGAAAAAGAATGTACCCATATAAGTTTAAACATGGATTAAAAAATTTGAATGGATTTTATATTAAAAAATGGTACATTTTACATATAACAAATTGATATATTTGAGAATGGGTACATTTAAGATTAAAAAAATTGAAAAATTATATGAATGGGTACATTTAAGATTAAAAAATTGAGAATCTTTTTATATATAAAAAAAA